GGACTAAAAATGGAAGAAGTCAATGTGGATAAAAAAACCTTATTCTGGTACTTAATAACGACAGCAAGAATGCTATATGCACAATATTGGAAACTTGAAAAAGTACCAGAGATTGAGGACTGGATACATAAAGTTCTGTTCATGGCAGAAATTGATAAAATTACCAAAAAATTGAACAACAAAGAAGACGAAGAATTTTTTGAAGAATGGAAGGACTTTAAGAACTATCTGGAAAAGAACTGGGATGTGACAAACAATTTACTGTGTTTAGAACAATACTAAGTAAAAAGGTGTTATCTTTTAAAATGATTAGAAATATGATATTAGCAACTGATGAAATATATATAAGTAAGGGGAAGGGGGTGAAAGCATTGCGGGAAGCCACAGGAGGGGGGAAGGTGTATGGATTGTAGGGTAAGTAATCGTTTATGTACTTTTCTTTTTTAAAGTCTTAATGGATAAATGTTGAATACCTACGATTGGAAAATAATAAAACTTTGTTTACCTAAAAAAAAAGATAGAAGCCCAAACAGTGTCTCATGCAGAGATGTAATGGGTAGCCACCTTGCAGGTCATATTGTCTGGCAGTGACTCTGAACTAGAAGGGACTGTATGATCCAGTAACACCCAAAAAGAGATGTGTTTATGTCAGAAATTACTCCCCCATCTCCATTCTTCCATTCTTCACATCTCTGCTCCCCTTTAGTCTTCAGTTCACCTGCTGTTGAAGAGACATGCATGGTGACAGAAAGCACATGTGCCAGCCAACTGCCAAAGAGGGGGAAAGAATCTTCCTGTCTTTTCCCCTTGTACCTTGCCCCCCCTCTTTTTAATGTCCTAATGTAATTATAACTATGTATAGATTTCTACCCCCAAGCTTGTCCAGGAATGAGGGAGAAACCTATATTTTTCAGTACATTTAAAAACAACCCAGAGAGGTAGGCTGCCCTCTCTGGATTCAGAACAATAGCCACCAGAATCCCTTTTTAACTAGTCCCGGTGTAACAGGCCGGATTACCCCCCGGAGGGATTCCAAACCTTTAGGTTAGCCTCTGGGACATAACACATTGAACAACTCAGTCTTGAGCTGCATAGTTAATCTTACCAAGGTAGCTTGTATGGTGAGCAGAAGGCACAGGAGTTTAGCCTTGGAATCCAGTTACAACATCAAACAAGTTAGAAACGAGAATAATATTTTATTCAGTACAATTAGACTAATAAGGATTTCAAAACAAGAAAGACTAGGGCAGTTTGTGCCTTCACTACACAGTAAGAGATATGCATAATTACCAGGATGATCCATAGCCCAAGAATGTCCAGGTAATACAGTCCAGCTAGACACCAAGGGATTCTGAGGGAAAATCCCCTTTGTGCACCAGCCATGTGCTCAGCTTCACAAAGGAGGTCTTTGGCATTCCCAGGTGCAATTCAACAAGTAGAGAGAGAACAGGAACAGAGAGCAAGAGACAGAGAGCTCTCTTCCAAGGAACCAGTCAATTAAACCCCAATCTAGTCACAAATTAGCTCTGGCCAGGAGCCAATTACGAGTAGATATAGGTGTCTCCAATTGGTGGGTTGCCATAGTTGCAACATCTGAATGGCTGGGACTCTGGAGGCCACACCTGCAGTCATGTGACCCCAAATTCCAACCACTTCATTTTGTACGTAACTTCTGGCATGAAGGAGAGCCAGGCGCCATCAAGTCTGCCTCTTCCTTTAGAGGTGTGAAAGCATGTGTGGTTATATGGCATGGCAATTGAGCTTCTCTGACCAAATGTTCAGGCCATTTGGCTTCAACAGGAAATACAACACAGCATGGTATCAGAAGATATCACATGAGAAGGCAGGGAGCTTTTAGAAATCAATATTTCTATACAAACTAATAACTACATTTCCCAGAGTACACTAGATGCCCAGAATACTGTGTACCCAAGGTTCAAGGATGGGAGCAAAGGCCAGAAGGATCTTTGTTCTTGGATGAACAGGATACTTTGGGCTTACAAGAGCCTTTGAATGTAATCAGTTTACTTCTCCTGGCACCTTAGTAGTTTTCTTGTGGCATACAGTTTAGGAATTTTGATTTTAAAAGGTTGTATACATTATTTCTCTAGTTATCAAACAGCAATATTGGGAACATCATTAGGAGGAATATGCACAATCTTTTTCATTTGAGTTCTTTATTTTAAAAATGGTTTAAATTGGTTATTAAAGCTATTTGTCACCGCCATGGAAATCAACATTTTCCATCTCTAAAATTTTCCCCTCACCCACTTGAGATGAAATCTGAGGCCCAATTTAATTCTTTCCAGTCAGGAAGAACAGCTCTTCACTATGCCTGTGAAATGAAGAACCAGTCCATCATTCCTCTTCTAGTCGAAGCAGGTGCTGATCTTTCCATAAAGGATAAGGTAAGGAAAGAAGCTCTTAAAATGGTTAGAATTTTGACTGCTTTCTATGTGGATCTTCCAGTGATTTGGGCTTCCCCCTCCTATTGTGAAATTTACTCCTGAGCAGTGTTCCCTCTAAGCTGAGTTAGTGTGAGCTAGCTCACAGTTTTTTAGCCTCCGGCTCACACATTTTTGTCTTAGCTCAGGGAGGATGGCTCCAGAGCAAACTAAATTATGCAGTAGCCAAATCGCTCACTCAGAACTTTAATGCCAGGAGCTCACAAAGTAGGATTTTTGCTCACAAGACTCCACAGCTTAGAGGGAACATTGCTCCTGAGTCATCTCTACATAGGGGACAGGTTTTTTTCTCCTCATTGCCTTCCCTTCCCATCCCCTATTGCTGGTTGAAGAAAGGCTTCCTTTCACAAATACATACACATCACAAAATAACCACAGCCTGTGCATGTTTTCATTAAATTTCTAAGCTTCCTTTCACAAATACACACACATCACAAAATAACCCCAGCCTGTGCATGTTTTCATTAAATTTCTGCCCTGTGTAACATGTCTTCTTTTAATATGTGTTGTACAATGGGCAAATGGGAAGAGCCATGGTTTAGTGGTAGAACATCTGCTTGGCATGCATAAATTCCCAGGTTCAGTCCCTGGCATCTCTAGTTAAAAATGTTCAGATAATAGGTGATGCAGAAGATCTCTACCAGAGACCTTGGAGAGCTTCTGCCCACCTGAGTAGACAATAGTAACCATGATGGACCAATGGTCTGATTCAGTATAAAGCATCTTCATGTGTATATACCTGATCACTGCAAAAATCAAGAGAGATCATCAAATTGAATTGTACATTGTGTTATGGCTGGGTAACTATTTCCACACATCCTTTTTTTCCAGTAAGCTGCTTCTGTTTTTCACTAAGCTGCAAACAGAACAAATAATCATCTTGGAGACTGCTCATTCCCTTTACACCCTCCCAGTTCAGCCCAAACACTGCATTTCAGGAGGATGTTTGGGCTGCAGCAAGAGAGGGGAGATGAGAGAATTATAGTCTATGGGCTGCAATCCTTCGGGCAGCAATCCTTCAGAAACGTATGGCTGGCTCCAAGCCATGGTACTTACTTCTTTAATATCTTTTACTTCATTTTAGGATGATGAAACACCACTGGATATAGCAAGAAGACTGAAGTTCATTAACATAGAATCCATATTAAAGAAAGAATGATAGACTGTAATGGGATATTGACACAGTTGTTAGAAAAAATGCCACCTGCTTTGGAAATTCATTCTGATAAGTGCCATTTGGTCAGCATTTGAAAGTCATGATGTTTACAGCAGCGATATAGCAATAGAGTGTTTTAAATCTCCTGCTATGTAGCCCTGCATGATGTGATTTTACCAGGACATGCTTTTTTTTTTTACCATTAAGAGGTAATGCCTTTGATTTATTTTTTCTTACTCAAGTAAGACACTTGTAACAGTTTGACCAGTACTATTTATTTGAGTACTTTTTGTAAATGTTGAAGTTTAAAACAAATCCATCAATAAAGCTTTGTTTTTATATTTATTTTTAGTGTGCCATGAGGTAGTTGTCTAGTATGTTTTACATTCATTGCCCAAGAATAAACTGGATGGTGACAAAGGTTATCTGGGGTTGCCAGCTTGAGCTAAGTGTTCTCCAAGAGCAGAGGACATTTGTGGCATGCAGGAGCTGGAGAAGGAGGACCTGTAGGCCTGCCTATGACTGCTCTGCCTGTTTCTTCTGCACTGCTGTCTTCTCCATCTCAGGAGAGGCAAAGCCACACCAATGGTGCATGAAGTTGGAAGTAAGGAACAGGGAGCTCAAACTCCTGCTTAAAGGGAGGGAGACTAGACAGCTTTAGGCTTTAAAGAAAAATCTTTGCCAGCCATTCCATTCATAGTCTGGGCATTTTAGTATCCTTAAAGATTTCATTTTCTTTTTAAAAGAGCCATATTTGGTTCCATACTGAGCCACAGGATGCAGACCCCTGATCTGAAGCATCCAAAAGCCACACATTTGTAACGGCGAGATTTCATCCTTCCCAATATTTGTTGGCAGAATACAGTTGGAAAATATTTGTTGTACAATGTGTGAATTGTTCTTAACCCAGAAGGTTGAATAAACAGGCAGAGACTCAGCTATTTTAGATTTGTTTTTTGATCAATGGAGAGTGCAATCCTGATGCTACAGAAGTTTCAGATCATGTTTTCTGCTATTGAACTATAATATACTACAATGATAAAATTAGATAGAAGGACTAATCCAAATATATACTGTTCCCAGCCCATAACTTTATTAAATGCCAGCAAAGCTACAAAGACATCCCTATACCAACTACAAGGCAAAGTATTTTATTTTCAATAAAATGATTAGTAGTTTCACTTTTAAAAGAAGTGTTTGGTGGCATTTTTTCATCATTTCAGTAATCTCCAACGTCATCAAGAAAGTAGCCCCTTGTGAGATTATGGATACTTTGTGGACTGGACATATGCTCAGTTGCATGAAGACCTCAGAGCTACATAGTGGGATTATGGATAGTTCATCATTTTAGTGGAAGGCACATACATATGCTCAGTTGCGTCAAACCTCAGCTGACTGGTGTTACAAATACTATACTGTATTGGGAATGTCAGCTTTTATGTGCTGATTGACCAAGATCTACAAGCAGCTCTGATTTAGATTATGCATATCTTTTCATTGTCTCAATGATCTTCATGTACATGCGCTCAGTGGCATCAAGTCCCCAGATGAAGTCTAGATGCTGCCATTCAGGAATATGATGTTTAGACACAAGATTACTAATTCGAGAGCATAACAAAGCTATATCTTTTGAATTAATCATCAAGTCATTTCCACCAGTCCAGAGTTCAATTGGTATTTTTATATCTTCTATCTTGTATACAGGAGGAGTTGTCTAAGGAATTAAAAAGAGAAAATTGTTAATTCTGTAAAAGTATAAGAACACAAGAACATTCTTTCTCCAATGTTTAGAGCTGATTTGGAATTGGAAAAAAGGAGAAAATAACATTTGTATTTTCAAGGCCCCAAAGAAATGTGATCTTGTCTGCAAAACATGCTCCAAACTTTCCATTACCCAAGAACAATGGTGAGGTATTATCCAGAAACAAGGTCCATATGATATGTGGATAAATCTAGTATATTTACAAAAACAGCTCCTTTTCTTGTCACTTCTGCTGCATAACACCAAAGGGCAAAATAAAAACATAAAGCAAGTATAAAAAGTTAAGTGGCATAGCAAATACACACACACAAAAGGCCCCAATCAAGCTTCCAACAAACAATGCCTAACCGTGACCCAGCCTGAAAAGCAAAACCCTTTAGATGTCAGCAGAAAATGTACAGGCTATCTCAAACATATATAGGTATATATGTTAATTTAATAAATGCAGGATAGAAATGCAACAAATAAATATTTTCTGTTTTTGTGTTACCAGTGAGTTTTTGTTTATTTCATTGCTGGTTTTAAGACTGATAATTTTATGCTTGTTTTTATGATTTTATTGTTGTATAGGTTTACTGTGTGACCTGCCTTGAGCAGCTCTCTGGAAAGGTGATATCCATATCTCTCGTTAGGGTCAGGTTCTCAGGGAAGTATGGAGTGGGGGGGGGAAGTCAGCAAACAGGCCACTGACAAACTCTGCTCAATTCACAGTTGTTTTGATCTGAGCCAATGTGTATGGTTTGACACAGGTAATACATTTTCTGATTTCAAAGCTGTAAATGAAGAGTACTGTAATTATATCTAATTCTTAATATGGCCAAAAGTGAGGATTCTCTCTCTCTCTCTCTCTCTCTCTCTCTCTCTCTCTCTCTCTCTCACACTATGGTTTGACACAGGTAATACATTTTCTGATTTTCTCACACACACACACACACAGAGAGAGAGAGAGAGAGATTTATTGGCATTACAGCACAAATCCAAATAAAATATGCTAGAATCTGTGGTCAGAAAGAACATCTCCTCCTAGAGGCCTGGTAGAGGAATTTGATTTGGTTTAGATTGTTTCTTTGTTTTTCTTCCTTTGTTCTTTATAGACAAGAAATATGTTGTTAAGCTGTTCAGTTGCAAATACTATACTTGGGAAATGGGTAATGTAAGAGATATAAAATATTATTTTAAATGAGAAAGGTTGAGTTGAATATAGATGTAAGTGGAAGTATGGTATAATGTTGACAGTAAATAATATATACTGATAGGTGACAAAGTTAAGTTGTATGTTATAAATATCATTTCAATTGGGAAGGAGAAATGAGATTAAGGACTGCTGAGGTATCAGTGCATATCTGTATAAGACGATTTTTCTGTTTTTGATATTGCCTTTCTTCTGCTTCATTTTGTTCTGCTTTGTTTGGTGTTATGGATGCCTGTAAATTAGAAAATATCTTGATGTGTAGTTTAGGAGTAATTGATATGCTTTAAAATAGGATACTGTAATAGGAACAAGTTACAAAGTGCTAAAGGTTGGCCAGAAATGATTTATATGAATTATTAGTGATATTAGAGATAAGATATTATGCTGTTGTAGTATTTAACAGTAAATATTATACTTTGAAACTGGGTAAAGTAAATTATACAAGTGATAAATCCAATAGGTAATGATTGGTTAGAGATGAACACAAGGATATGGGAAAATTGCTGTATAATCCTTCAAATGAGTTGTTGTATAGAATTTATGGTTGATGGTATATGCACTTTCTCTCTCTCTTTTTTTGGAAAATAATAAAAAAAAGTTTTTAAAAAACCCCACAGAACAGGGTCATGTACAGAGAAGGGGGATTTTTTAAAAAACAAATCTTAGCAAGCTCCCAGGTTTGCAGAAAAATCTAAATAGTGAGTTAAAAGGTGACATGGATTTACAAATGACCAGACTTAAACAAAAAATGAGATGTGACAACAGTGTGTCATGAGATCAGCCACTATTTCAAGGGTACAAAAGAAACCACAAGAGAGAATCACGGTAAAGAGCCTGAGCAATGAAAAAATGACCGTGACAAAATTATGAACAATAAATGTATATTATCTTATACTCTAATAAGGTGCATGTATAAAAGCCAAACGGAGTGTAGATAAACAATTAAATGACAGAAAGTCCAAATAATGAAAAATGAGTCCAATACATTGCAAAGTCTTCTAGTAGTTCAAAGTTGGAGATTCCAACTGGAGATTTTCCTTGGACATAGAGTAGTTAAATTTTAAATATTGCTTCTAATATTCTGTCTAAATCCATTCCAAGGTTTTCGCAAGTTGTGTCTCTCCTAATCACCCAACTCTGAGGAAGGGTGGTGTCCAAAACTGGCACAAGCTGGCCACCTGTCCATTGGGCAAGAATGTTTAAACAACAACTGGAGTCATTGGGCAAGAATGTCTAAACAACAATTGGAATGTGTTGCTTTAATAAGTAATTGAAGGCTTTCACGGCTGGAGTTCATTAGCTGTTGTAGACTTTCCGGGCTGTATGGCCATGGTCTTGGCACTGTAGTACCTGACGTTTCACCAGCAACTGTGACTGGCCTCCTCAGACGTGTAACACAGAAAGATGAAGTACTCTCTGTGTCAATGTGAGAAAAAAATGCTAGGCAGGTAATTTACATCTACTCAGGTTGCTTTAATAATCAGACAACTACTCTGATAAATGCATGGAGCTCCTTGAATCAGATGGAATTAGAATTTATTGAGCTAATTAGAGCTCTGTGATTGCAGCTTCAAAATTCTAGAAGACTTTGGAATGTATTGGACTCATATTTCATTATTAGACTTATTATTATACTTCATTAGACATATAGAACTAGCACTTCATGATATTTGGACTGCTTCATGATTGGTTTGAGATTGGTTTTAATTGTTATTTATGTGTTTGAATCTTTTATGTAAGCTGCCCTGAGCCTGCCTTGGTGGAAAGGGCGGGGCATAAACTCAATTAATAAATAATAAATTATTTAGACTTTCTATCATTTAATTGTTTATCTATACTCAATTTGGACTATTATACATGCATTTTTTAAGAGTATAAGGTAATACACATTTACTGTTCATAATTTTGTTGTGGTCATTTTTTCATTGCTCAGAGAGGGTGACTTTGCTGCCACCAAGATGTACTGCCAAGGGGGAGGAATTCTTGGAGGAAAAGAAGGCAGTGGCCAGAGGAGATGGGTGTTGAGTGTAGGCAGTACTTGACCTGGGAGGGAACCCAGAGCAATCCAGTGCTAAGCAGCCCCTCAAATTCATGAGCACTGCCAGTGGAGAAGACAGCAGCTGACCATATTTGGGTGGGAGGGAGCCTGTGGCTGGCTGCAGGCTCTTTCCGAGCCAAACACCATTGGTATTGATGCCTGCCTGCCTGCACCACCTTTTCTCCCTCCTGGTAGAAAGGAGGAGGAAGAAGTGGTGGTGGTGGGACCAAGAAAAGAGGGGGCAGCTGGAGGGCAAGGGGAGGTGTGCCCCAGTGCTGGGGAAAATGAGGGAAAGAAGAAGGAGGATCAAAAGGAAAGAGATACGAGGAGAAGGCAGTGGGGAGAAAGGTGTCTGGAGGGTGGAGAAGCCAGAGGAGAAAGCTGCGATCAGTGAGGGAATTTCCCTGTGAATTTCTTATGGGTTCCTGCTTGTGTTATATATTTTGCTGCCCTACCTGATTATACTTCTGCATATTCTTTTTCTGGGAGCCGAAGTCATATGCCTTGAATTCTTTTTCAAAGAACACCTATAAGGAAATCATTCATAGTTATATAATATCATAATTACAACTAGGAGCTGGGAGATCAGTTTGAAGGCCCACTCTGCCATGATAGTGATGACTGACCTTGAGCGGGTCACTCTCTCTCTTGACCTACCTATTGTGACAGTAAAACAGAGGAAGGGAGAATGAAGTAAGCTGCTTTTCCCCATTGTAGAGAAAAGCTAAGCAAGCAAATATATAACACATTAATAGCTTCACATACATTTCCTCTGCAGTCTTTATAATAGCTCTGTAAACTGTAGTCCCTATGCAGCATTGCACTTCTACAGATTATGAACATTACTCTAGCATCATTTTAGCAAGAGCTTTAAGATAATTTGGTTTCTTGCTTTTCTGAAGTTATGGACAGATAAGTTTATTTTGTTGCTGTACTTCATTGGAAACGAGGCTATAATAAAGGGATGCCCCATCCTCCTCCCAGTACTGAGTGAATAATAAGCACTATAAGGTTCTTTTCTCTGATACCAGGCACCAGACAAGGCAACTTATTGTAGTTCCTAAAATAAATACCCGAAATATTTAAGGGCATAGATCTTCACCATAATTTATGTAGCCCTTCAGAATTTTCAAAGCTTTCGACTTGCAACAAGTCAGTAACATTTAAAACAGTGGTTCTCAAATTTCTTGAAGTGGGATCCTGTTCCAAATATAGTGTAAATTTTAGGGCTCACATGAATTGTAACTCTAAGTTAACTCCTCCCTCCCTAACATAAAACACAAAAGTCACACATCAGTTATTGGATATGGTTCATTCAGTTTTATGTGTGTATCCTTGTGTGTATGTGAGGCCATAGAGCAACATGGAGAAAACCAGTGTTCAGAAAAACAAGGGGCGGGACCCGTGATACTCACGGGAGGGGAGGAGGAAGCAGCAGGAGGAGGTAAGTTCCCCCCATCTCGCCGGTTGCCCCGTCTCCTCCACCCCCCGGCTCGATCTCCCCCCGGGCTCGATCTCCCCCCTGGCTCCGAAGCGAGGCCCGGTGGCTGCAAGCCACTCGGGCCTCAGTGGTCTCTTCCCCCTGGCTCCGAAGTGGCGGCAGCAACAAGGCAGTTTGCAGAGTGTTCCCTGCGCATGCGCAGGGGACGCTCTGTTACTTTTGGGGGGATTTAAGTATCCCCCCGATATTTTTTCCAACTTTTCAGATTTTTGTGCACACCTGGGGACTGCCCCAAGTGTGCACGAAAATCTCCCTCCCCCCCAGGTGCCCCCGATGCACGGAAATAAGTATCCGCACGCAAGGGGCGCCTTCGCTATTAGTATATAGATTAGGATATCTTGCAATTGTTCTAAGTCAGTGGTTCTCAGACTTGTGGCATGTGACCCAAAAGTGGGCCACGACATTCTCATAGATTGTGGCATTGGCAGGGAGGAAGGGAAAGAATAGCAGTCTCTGGGGAGCTCAGTTGCAAATTTGGGTTTGCTTCAGTATAATGTGCAAAATAGCCAAGTAATGAAGAATGTTGGTGGAAAAGTCATATATTTATACACAGAGAACATGAAAAACAGAACATAATGTAACTTATTGGTAAGTGATATGAGATTCTTGTGTTTTATGCTGGGGAAGTAAAGTTAGTATATATAATGACAAAGCATACTGCAACATGTTTGGCATCACACATGCCTGGTAGAAAAGGGGAAGAGAGAGATGGGATCCATATTGCTTTGTGGGGAAGCCCTCGTATACACACAGGCTTACACCTGAAACCGAATGGGACATAGCCAATAGTGCTTCAGACTGAGATTGCCTATCATGTGTGTAAATATCATGACATTTTATTAAGAAGTGGTTTCAAAAGTCCTAAATCAAAGAACACACACCAACTTAGTCATCCCTAAAAACAATGACAAGTAAATGAATAAATGAATAAATAAAATGCACTACTAGAATATCTTATTTATGTAGGCTTTCATTTCATTTCAAATAAGGGAGCTGAAACACAATGGTCCTACTCATTTCAAATAAGGGAGCTGAAACACAAGTGCAGACATTCCTTTGTGTATGCATAATGGTTCCATCTACTGACACGGGAAAGTTTTTGTGAGTGGGAAAACTCCTTTTGATAGACACCAGAGCTTCTGCCCCCCATAAAGAATTGCTGGATTGAGATGAAACAGCATATGTTGAAACAACTGTAATGTGCATGCTAATAACAGTTCCAGCAGAGTAGTCGTGTTAGTCTGCAGCAGCCAAAACCACAAAGAGCCTAGTGGCACCTTACCAGTTAACAAATGTATACGTTTTTGTGAGCCGGAGGTCATTTCATCAAAATTGTTTTGTTTTCATGCCAACACAGATGTACATGTTCCCTGTGCCCTAATTTCAGAATCCAAACAATGTCTACACTGTGAAAATAATTCAGTAATTGAAAAGTGATTGCATGTGAAAATTTAATATACCTGGCGCCAATGAAGAGAGTTTTGGAAAGATGTTCCAGCAGGAGAATGTGCTACATACATATCTAGTCGGCCCTGCAATAAAAGAATTGTTAATCTATATATCTAATTCCAACAGAGGGCGTGTTGTGCGGATACTTATTTCCACTAACAGGAAGCTCACTCTGCCCCAACAGCTTTTCCTACATAGTCAGTAGACTTCCTGTGTCTGCAGAAAAATCCAAGAAGTAAAAAAATCCCTCCAGGGACGGCTGAATCCCCCCCAATACCTTTTGAAATGGCCTCTGCAGGGATCTAACTCCAGGCATCAACGGTGAGAGAGAACGTTCAGGGCGGGGGGGGAGGGCTTCTAACTGGCTCTGTGAGTCACAGGGTAAGGGAAGGGCCCTTTCCAGGCCTCTTTTGGCCTTTCAAGGAGGGAGGGAGAAAGGGAGCCATGGGGCCAGGCCTCACAAGAGTTGCCAGTGCCAGGCTGGGGGATTTAGTCTAGGGTTGCCAGGTCCCCCCTGATTTGCATGACTCACCTAGCCTCGGCTGCTTGCTACCATTCATCAGCAGCCACCCTATGAAAGCCAGTGAGGTGCAGCAGTTGAGCTTCAAAGTAGGGTCTGCAAGACCCAGGTTCAGATCCCCATCTTGCAGTGGAAGCTGGCTGCGTGCTTTTGGACCAGTCACATATTTCAGCCTAACCAACCTCACAGGGTTGTTGTGCAGATAAAAAGGAGGAGGGAATAATGAAAGCTGCTTTGGTCCCCACTGTGGAGAAAGACTGTAATTTTCCTAGGTAGAGGCTGGGGGTGGAGATGAAAAGCAGAAGACAGAGAGTCAGATAAAGCTAAACTGGCTGTTAAATAAATAAATAAATAAATAAATAGGGTTGCCAACTCCAGGTTGGGAAATTCCTGGACATTTGAGGGGTGGAGCAGAAAAAGAGAGAGAAAGAGTGATGAAGTGGGGAGGCAGAAAAACAATGAGAAAGATGACAGGTCAGAAAGAGAGAGGAAGTCACATGCATGGAGGAGAAATAGAGAGCAAGAAAAGGGGGGCAGAGGGGAGAAATAGTGTGAGAGAGGTAGGGGGTGAGGAGAGGAAGCAAAGGTGTGATGAATGAGATAACCATCCCGCAGGTTTCTTGCGGACCTCCACTTGTGATATTTAATCAGGATATCTCTTGAGAAAGAACTTAAACAACAGAGCTAGAATGGAACAGTGTCTTGCCGGGAGCTAAGCTTGCTAGCTGTTCCTTATTTGAAGGCACTTTTTTTAAAAAATGTATCAATAGAATGGAAAAGAAGAGATGTTCTATAGGTACAAAAAGCTGCCCGTTTTAAGCTTGAATGCCACAGTGGTACTCTCTCCAAGGACCTAGCTCATAAATATCAGAGCAGCACTGCAATGTATGTTTTGAAATATACATATATGGAGGAGGGGGGGGGGAAGAAACATGGCCTCAGCGGACAGGCACCTCCTTTCGTTGAGGTAGGTCTCTTTCATTTTTTTGGTGTTTTGATTGGTTCCTAGATCTCATTTCAGCTCCTAACAGTACCAGCATTGTTCACATTGTGAGACGGTGGCAGAATCTGCATTTGTCTTTTCCACCGGTGTTCCAGCCTTTTGACTCAGTCTTCAAAAAAGCTGTCTACATTTGGTGTCGTTTTCACACCTCAACAGTGCTAGCATACTTTCGCAAGTCCACATATGTTTATCCTCCTTTGGGGCAGCTCCACTGTCATTGCACCTCCGCACTGCTTTAAAAGACTCTTCTCCAAACAACATTCAAACAAGCATAGAGAAAGACGGTGTCACAGCAGCATGAAAATGATTTTAAAATGCAAATGCAGATTCGCCCTGTGACTCAAGCACCCCAAACTGGAAGGAGAAAAAAGCCCCTTTCTATTCAAATTTGAAGACCCTCCCCAGGTTCTTGCCTAGCTTCTAAAAGGTGACCAGCTAATCCCCCATGTGGGGCTTCTCATGCAGCATTCAGTGGCAAAGCCCAACCTGACTGATGGTCAAATGTATTGTGTAGTTGGGCCCTTTTGCCCACAGGGCAGCAGCTCCTACAGCTACATTCAAGTATCCATGGTGGTTTCTAAGGACATTCCTTTCTTTCTTTGTTTTCCTTCTCTCTATCTTCCCTTTCCTTGAAACTAACGATCACTCACCAAACAGGAACATACTTCAGAAATGTCAGTGTCTCCTAAACTGAAATACTAGAAAGCAGCAAAATGACAAGATCTATTTTGTTTCAAACCTGGACAGAGAGGGGGAAGGGTGTTGTTGCAATGCAAGATATATCTTACTGTAGAATAGGGGGTGCACCATTTTTTTTTTTGGGGGGGGGGTTATTTGCCAATATTCCCAAATCCAAGTATTGGTATTGCCAAATTTATTTGGCTCAATTATACCCTATGGGGACCATCCCCATAGGCTATAATAATCCCTCTCAGTTTAGCACTGGGGCGGCAGGCTCTGATCACTGAAGGGGAGGCAAATGTCCTTCCCTCCAGTGAAGGGAGGGTGCTGCCTCTGCAGCAGGACTCCAGAGACTGAGGGGACATATTGCCTACTTCAGCCTTCCCTGGTATTCGTGGTATGACACACAGTAGATTTACAAAGGGTTCCAGTAAAATTCTACCCAGACTGAAGGCATTTCTGAACATAAGAAAAGGGAAGCAGCCTGAATAGGTCTACTAGAAAGTAATTGATTCAGTCACTTCCCTGCTTAAAATTCAGGCAATGTCTCAGCAATTGACTATGATAACAGACTCTTAATGCACAGAAGGATCTAGCTGGCAATCACCCCTATATTAATCTTATTATTTCCATTGGCTGGAATAAGTAGCACACTCCTGGCCTTTTGTCCACCTTCCAGACCATCAAGTGACCAGTTCATTTCAGTCAGCCCATTTTTTTTTGGTTGCCTTGCTATCCATAAAATGTTCCTGCCTAGCAGTTAAATCCAGGTGCACCAATATGATTCAGACTTTTTGCTCCAATCCAATCCCAATCCAGAAGTTTATGGATTACTATATTTTCAGCATTTTCCCTGAATAAACATAGCCCCCAAACCCCAGAATATTCTGATCCAATCATTTGTTACGGCAAAGCCAACAACAGTATCAATTCACAATAGCCAGTGAATTAGTGAAAATAGAAAAATAACATCTGAGAATAAATAAAAGCAAGTTACAGTATATCTTCCATTACAAGGGATTTATGTTTTCTGATCACTAAGCAACAAAATCTGGCCACAGCATTATTACTCAAAGGTTCCTTGATATTGAATTACAAAATGAAGGAGCCTTACTTCCAAAGAGTTTTAGATGTTTAAAATCTTGGCCCAATTTTATTACTTCCAATTCCAATAACCTTTATTGGCATACAATAACTCTATGAAAGGAATAGGAGTATAAATCAATCCATATGTCAACAAAGGAAAACAGTCAGGGCACAGCAGTTTGTAGCACTGTATATAATAAAGATAATAGGACAGAATGATAAAAATTTGAACAGTAATCTCAAATATCGCATTAATTAAAGCAGTTACAATAAGAAGCTTAACTATCCAAAGAGGATAGACTCACTCTCTCTCTCTCTCTCTCTCTCTCTCTCTCTCTCTCTCTCTCTCTCTCTCTGTGTGTGTGTCTCCCTCCCCCCCCCCCCCCCCCCCCTTATCTCTTCCTCTTCCCTCTATTCTTTCTTGGCCCCTGAGTACATTTGCCAGGAACTCTGCCACCTGCTCAGTAACTTTGTGGTTTTTGTCTGCTAGCAAGAATTCAACACCTCTATTGGTCGCAGTCTTAGAAAGTTGAAGGAGGGGACTGCAGAATCTTGCTTCATAGGGGATACCCTTCTATCTCCCTGTGACCTGTGACCACAGCTGAGGGAAATATATTAAATCTGGCCAGCATAAATGCTCTGTTTTGAGAAGAGATTGTTAAGTTTGAAAAATACTGAGCCATAGAGTTTTGCAGGGAGGCAAGACCCAGGAAATGGGGGGAACAAGTCCCCTCTGCTCCAGCCTTTATTAACTGTAAATCAATATCCTGAATTCTCCTTTGAATTATTTGGAATATGTAGGTTTCATTGGAGTTAACCAGGGAGTCTAAATCAATACCTAAAGAATTAATTTTCTCTCTCATTGATTGAGACCATTTAGAAACATACGGGTCAACAGTTAAAAAAGTGATAAGACTATTTGGGGGAGGTTGAAAGTAGAGATGTAACCAATATTTAATAGTAGCAATCCAAGCTCTGAATTCTATGGGATAGAGACCCAGCTCAGCACACAAGTTGAAATAACTGACTGAGTTGGGAATGCCAAGAATATGGCGCAGAAAGATTGCATTAATTTGTTCAACCTTTTTGTTAACATCCTGAATCCACACGGGGACCCCATACAGTAATTGGGGGACCACTGTTGCCCAGAAAACCCGTAGGGTGGCCGGGACAAATTGGTTACCTTTTTGGTAGTGAAAATGAGTTATAGCAGCCATTTTGTTCCTAGCCAGGCTTAGAGAGTGTTCCCGATGCATGGACCATTTTAGATTATAATGGAAGAGAATACCCAGATATCTGAAAGATTTAACTTGTTTAATTTCTCTTCCATCAATCTTTCAGACGGAACGCCTCCATGATTTAGAGAATACCAGCCCCCTTTATTAAATGCCGTTCAAGCCATGAGCAGTGAGCTTGCCCTTGGTGCCCTCAGTGCCCCCATACCAACAAATTCCTGGCTATGCCACTGCTCTCAACATATTGATGCATTCCTAACAGCCAGGCAATGTAAGGGAGCTTGGGATAGCATTCCGGGGTACATTTGCAAATGGGGAAGGCTGCAACCAGCATTCTAACTGACATTTATGAACAAATGGTGGTTTGTTATGTATGTAGACTAATAAGGATTTCTGAAAGAAACCAGTTTAAATAAGCCATCGTTTATGGTGATGTCTGGATGCAAACAAACATTCATTTTGTTCTGTCTGGCAATCAGTGACCACTACTTGGGAATGGGCCTCAGCCCCACTGCTTAGATCTTGCCAACATTTAGATGGATATTGCATTCATTTGTACCCTATGTAGCACCAAATTTGCTGGCAAATTGAGTGCAGCACTTTAACAGCATCATCTTTTAAGACTTTGAATAGCTCAGCTGGGATACCATCACCTCCACTAGCTTTGTTGTTAGCAATGCTTTCTAAGGCCCATTTATTGTTCAATTAATGTTTTCATTTCAGCAAGATCTGTAGAAAATAGGCTTGTAGGGAATTTCTGGTGGGGTCATGATTTGAGGGATGGGAGACATCTCCAAGGTGAACTCATAATAGCTGGGGCAGCTAGGACTCCATGGTCATCCATGTAGACCAGCTCAGTAAGAACTAGGCAATCTAAGGGTGAGCAACCGGGAGAGTGAGAAGTATTCCATCTCATATTACTGCAACATTCCTATTAGACTAGCCATTGGTTGGTTGTGAGCCCACAGTGTTTTAGCAACTCCATTAAAACTGCTCAGGTCGATCTACTCAGATGAGTTCATGGGGCTTGGCCATTGTACTTCTGCTGATGAGTCTTTCCTTTTGTCAGTTTTGGTTTCATACTGCAGAATATAAATTTTTACCTATAACTGAAATACATTCTCTATGATCTGTGTGAATGGAAGTGATAGCTTCCAGAGCTGCTTAGATCTAAAATGGCTAACACAGTTACTGCAGTTCTTGTAATAGGTGATTGTATACCTGAAAGTTCTTAGTATTAACAAGAATGAAACCGCACTGTGTTCCAACAACATGTATCACATTTTTTAAAAGCAAGCAAGCATATATATCTATTGATAATTGCTATTGGATCCTTCAGAGTCACATATGTTATAGGCTTGTTGATGGAGAATGACACCCCCCCCCCCCGCCTTGTACAGGTGCTTTCTGTGATCTTTGGATCCCAGCCATTATTTTTGAAACTACAGAGGCAATTTGCAATTGTTCAATAGTACATTAAATGGCAATTAGTAAAATATGGGTTCAATTGAGAACACACAGATACACACATCTTACAGAACAGCCCCACACATGCTTCCTTAGAAGTAAGTCACACATTATTCAGTGGGGCTTAATTGCAGGCAAGTGTGGACTGCAGCCTTTCACATCCCTTTTTATGCTGGCAAGTCCCAGGATTGCAATGTGCAGTCATGCTTCTAAGGCTGCGGTCACACACACTGAATAATCCACTTTCAATCCACTTTCAGTGCTCTTTCCAACTGGATTTTTACTGTGTGAACTGGCAAAATCCAGTTGGAAAGTGCATTGAAAGTGGATTATTTAGTGTGTGTGACAGCAGCCGAAGTAAATAGTCGCAGGCCTGCTCCTGGCAAAAATGGATGCCCTGAACTGCAGAGTTCTGTTGCCGTGAATCTTTTTTAAAAAACTTCATTTTGGTATTAGTTACACTTCTAGTGGGTTCTTACAACTCCTTTTTGCTCTTTAACACAAGTTTGTCTTGATTTAGTGTTACAAAGAGAAGAATCCTACTTACCATGTTCAAGTTGGGGATATTATATCCACTTATAAAAGACAGTGCTCTGGCACAGAATCCAGGCTGATGATTACATAGTTTAACAAATAGTTCTTTCAGATGAGATGGAGTGTAAAACATTCGTTTTGTGCCAAATATAACCTGAAATATATATTTGCAACAAGTTAACACGAAGAGAAATCAAATAATCAGCCATTTCTGTATGTCTGTATCCTCTTGCCAGCATATATTCATTTATATATTTATATATTTATTTATTCAATTTATACCCTGCCATCCCCACAGGTGGGCTCAGGGCGGCTTACAACATTGGCACCAGTTGCCGATAAAACCATATAAAAACAATGCACTGCTTAGAAAATACCAGAACCTTGCCCTCTGCTGAGCACCTGCCACTGTGAGGCTGGGTGTGCATTTCACTTGAAGGAGGGAAGGAAGGGACACCACATAGATTATGGAATGCTGCATCTCCTGAGGACCTATCATAACTATGATGGCATCAGCTCAGGCAGCCAGTACTAGCTCATGATTCTAGGTGGACTGGGGAGATGATTACTCCGGATGGCACATCATTCAGCTAGCATTCCTCTGCACAGTACAAAATGCCACTGGGCACTATATCTTGAGGGAACATGGTATAATCTCAGTACCTGGCTTGCAGGGATTGGGTGAAGGTGCTGCTGTCCAGGCAAGAGGACAGCACTTCACCAGTGATATCTTGGGTATCCAAAATGCAATACACAATATGCCTCCATCACCCTGATGCTCCACTGGTGGCAAATGAAAGAGGTAGGGTCAGATGCCAAGAGGACAGATGGTTACAGATAGTTCCTGTTTCCTGTTCCCCATATTCAGGTTCTTGACCATACCCATATATATCTGCTAGCATTTTCAAGAAGCCTATCATCTGTTTGGGAGAGATGTGGCTTTACTTTTTGAGCAGCAGCTGAAGTCACCCAAGGCTTCATGATGACAAGCGGTGGCAGCAACAAGTCTGAGATAACGAGGCATGGGAGGCTTGGGGCCTGTAGCACCAACTAGTCCCTCTGCCAGTTCTGTGTTATTGGTGGTTGAGAAGTTTGAGGCATTTAATTTCCACCATGCAAGTCTCTTTGCTGACTCCTTGATGGATAATGAGAAGTGAATTAGACTTGGGGAAGAATAAAGCTAAAATGAATCAGTTTAGAGTTAATGAGTCTTCAAGGTCTAGGACTCATTATCATTTCTGCCTAAAGAATTAAAGCATTCAAGCAAAGTTATTAGCAAGCAAAATCTGCATTTGAAACTATGCACCCATCAATTGTCATTTAGGTAGAGTCCAGCACTACTGAAGTCCAACACTTACTTGAAGCATTATTTTAGGAAGATATCCAAGTTTTATAGCAGGTGTTTTTGTAAATGTAATTGTGCTTACAGGTCCCAAGGCAAAGAATAATTTGATTTTTTCAGCCAGTTTTGGCCAAGTAGAGAATGCTACGAGACCTTTAAAAACAAACAAACAAACAAACAGAACTGAGTTGACTGGGCTGGGAGAAAGAACCCAGGAGAGAGCTGCTGGGAAGGTGCTTTCTTCCCCCCCCCTTTCTTAAACTACTAAAGTACTGGAGAGCATTAACTGAGGTCGCTTTATGAGAGGACAGAGTTTGAGGGGGAGTGGGTGCTTGTAGCCTGCTGGAGAGTGGTGTTGTTTTTGTCTGGGTCTGTTTGGGTCTTTTGTCTGGTCTGTTGCTCATTGAGCAAGTTCTGTTTCCTGGGGCTGATTGCAGGCCCCACCCTCTGCTGTTGCTGCTGGGAGGTGGGGGCTGTGGGGCTCTGAACTCTAAAGCTCCTCCTAGACAGAGGTGTGAGACAAAGGGTGAGAGTAGCTTGGGGATCATGCCTGAGGATCCTGGATAGGGTTGCCAGATCCCGCAGCCCAGCAGGGGTTTACCCGATTTCTCGGGCTTCAACCTGCCGCTGGCCAGCTAGCCGGTGGGGGAAGCCCCACACCCAAACCCAAATACCCACAGGCATCCCTCTCCCTTCTCTTGAGAGTTTTAAAGGGCCCTCCAGCTGACAGCTGGAAAGCCCTTTAAATTTTTCAGAGGGGAGGGAGAGGGGTGGCTGTGGGCCATGTTCATGAACTCCAAGCGGCATTGCCATTTGGAGATTCAGCGTGTGGGGCCCTGCCAACCAGAAGCACTTAAAGGGACCAGCTCCATGCACGTGAAGTTCAGGCATGTGGCCAGAGGCTGCCCCTCTCCCTGCCTTCTTGCAAGATTTAAAGGGCCCTCCACTGAATTGGTGGGTCCTTTAAATCTCGCAGGAGGTTAGGGAGGGGTGGCTGCCAGGAATGTTCTTGAGTGCAGGGCTTGGAGCGGGAATGTCCCCCACCTCGCCCCCTCTGGGAATGCTCCCCAAAGTCCATCACCAGGGCCAAAGAGGGACCTGGCAACCCTAATCCTGCATCATTCTAAATTTAAACCACTAACCAGTTATGAACGCCCAAAGCCAGCAGGGGAGTGGGGCCTATCCAATGTTTTGCAGAGAGTGCCACATGTATGATTATCTACTCACTAGGTGGAAATCATGAGTGTGTTTTTGCTGCATGGAGCCAATAGCTCCCATGGAGCAGGTTCATTCTCTGGATGCTTGGATTGCTGACCTGGAGGAGCTGAGACAGAGAGAGAAGTTTGGGGAAGAGACCCTCAGGGATTTACTAGAACAGTCTCACTCATGTGCTGACAGCTCTTCTGCTTTTTTGGAGAGTAAGGGTCTCAAGGTGAGAGGTGTCAGTCTGAGGAGGAGAGATGTGATCCTTAGAGGGGACCCCTTCCTTGAGTGATGGACCGATATCCCCTCATACTGAGGATGCTCCTGGGAGGATGGGGGAAGTTGGGCCTCTGGTAGTGGGTGATTCAATCATTAGGAATATAGAGAGTGGGGTCTGTGACTGCATGATGACTTGCCTCCCTGGTGCAAAGGTTGCAGACATCATGTGCTATCTAGACAGGTTGATAGTGCTGGGGAAGAGTCAGTAGTCTTGGTGAAAGTTGGCACCAGTGATATTGGGAAATATTGTTATGTGGTCCTGGAGGAAAAATTTAAGTTACTGGGTAGAAAGTTAAAGGCCAGTATCTCAAACATAGTATTCTCAGAAGTGCTGCCAGTTCCATGCACAGGGCCAGCATGACAGGCACAGATCAGGGGTCTCAATGTGTGGATGAGAAAGTGGTGCCAGGAGGAAGGGTTTAGATTTGTTAGGTACTGAGGAACTTTCTGGGACAAGCCAAACTTGTACAAAAGAGATGGGCTTCACTAGAACCAAAAGGGAACCAGGCTTAATATCAAATTAAGCCTGCAATTAATATCAAAAAGATGGCAGAGCAGCTTTTAAACTGATCCTGGGTGGAAAGCTGACAGGAGCTGGGGAGCCTCTGGTTCAGGACAAGTCAGTCCAAAGGGATGATTGTGTAAACACTCAAGGTAATGTTGATAGGAGTGTAACAGAACTTGGGAGTGAGGGCATGGTGGCGACTGAGGGTCGATGGAAGTGAGGGTTACTGGAGAGGGAAACATTGGTGTTCAATGACAATTTAGATTAGTAGGTAATTCAGAAACATGGTGGAATGGGGGAAATCTATGGGATCCAGTCATTCCTGGGTATAAGCTCTATAGACAGGACAGGAAGGAATGCGTTGTTGGTGGTGTTGCATTGTGCATCTAAGAGGACATAGAATCAAATAAGTTAGAAAACATCAGGGGAAAACTCCCCAACAGGTGTGATATGGGTGAAAACATTGGGCCCTAATGGTTACTTAAAAGTGGGAGTGTATTACCGCCCATGTGATCAAACTCTTGAGGCTGACCTTGAGATGGAGAAGGAAATAAAGGAGGTGACTAAAGCAGATGATGTTATTATACTAGGAGACTTCAACTACCCTCACATTGACTGGGTAAACATGTGTTCGAGTCATGCTGTAGAAATTAGATTCCTAGACATCATAAATTACTATTTACTGGAACAGTTGGTCACAGAGCCAACCAAAGGGGTAGTGATATTTGTTTATTTTTTATTGGACTTCTATACCTCCCTTGCCACAGAAACGGGCTTATAGTGGTATACAATAATCTAAACAAGAAACATTTTAAAATTCAGCTATACTAAAATACTGAAAACTGTATAATATCAAAGAATCCTATATGGTGCCAGAGTGCACAAATGGGGAGAAATGGAAGGCATAGCTGATAGAACCATTGCTGTTAAAAACTGTTGCGGTCCTCAACCATATGCCTGGAGGAACATTTTCTGCCTTGCAGGCTCTGAGGATGTGTAACAGGTCCCGCAGGGCCCGGATGTCATTTGGCAGTGAGTTCCACCAGGTCGGAGCCAAGGCTGAGAAAGCTCTGGCTTTGGTTGAGGACAGCTGAAAACAGTTTTGGGCCAGGGACCTCCAGCAGATTTTGTTCTCCTGAGTGCAACACTCTCTGGGGGGCATACCAGGACAGACGGTCCCACAGATACATTGGTCCCTGACCATTTAGGGCTTTAAAGGTTAAAACCAAAACCTTGAATCTGACTCAGTACTCAATCTGGAGCCAGTGCAGCTGGCAAAGCACAGGTTGAATGTGGGCTGTTAACAGTGTCCACATAAGGATCTGGGCCACTGCATTCTGGACCAATTGTAACTTCTGGGTCAGTCTCAAGGGTTGCCCTGCATACAGCGAGTTACAGTAGTCAAGCCCAGAGGTGACCATTGCATGGATTACTGTGGCTAGGTCAGGGCGAGACAGGAAGGGGGGCAGTTGCCTGATCTGGCATAGTTGGAAGAACGCCAGTCTAGCAACGTTTGTGATCTGGGCCTCCAGATAAGAAGGCATCCAAAGAAACACCCACACTCTTAGCCATCTGTGCCAGTGTTAGTGGCACATGGTGAAGAGCTAGGAGTTGGCATCCAAGTCCTGAATTCCCTTCAACCAGCCAGAGAACCTCCATATTTGCTGGATCCAGTCTCAACCAACTCAGACTTGGTTCTGAGCAGATCTCAAGACCTGGTGAGAAATGTAGACGCTGTTACACCAGTTGGGTACAGTGACCGCAGTGCAATTAAGTTCTGCATTCAGACCAATAGGAAGTTACTCCTAAAGTTCAAAACTGTAACATTTGATTTCAAAAGAGCAAACTTGACAAAAATGAGAGGAATAGTAAAAAGGAAGCTAAAGGAGAAACTCAAAAGAGTCAAATTCCTAGAGGATGCTTGGAAGCTATTTAAAACCACACTGATTGAAGCCCAGATAGGATGTGTTCCATAGATTAGGAAAGGCACTGCCAAGGAGGTCTGCATGGTTAACAATGCAAGTCAAGGAAGCTATAAAAAGTAGAGAGGCTTCTTTTAAAAAATGGAAGGTCTGCCCCAATGAATTGAACAGGAGGGACCATGGGCTCTGGCAAAAGAAATGCAAGTCAATAATTAGGCATGTATAAAGAGATTTTAAGAAGTGGGTTGCTAAATGCATCAAGACAAACAATAAATATTTTTTTAAATATACAGAGCAGGAAGCCAGCCAGAGAAGCAATGGGGCCTTTGTATGACAAAGGAATAAAGGAATTGGTAAAGGAAGATGGGGAGATGGCAAGAGAAGCACTGTGTTCACTGTGGAAAGTGTGGGGCATGTCCCATGCCACAGCCCCTATTTTCAGGAAGGGGTCGGAAGAACAGGGCTGTATTGAGGTGACCAGAATCGAAATTCTAGAACTACTGGGGAAATTAAAAACTGATATTTCTCCAGGTCCTGATGGCATACACTGAAGAATTCTTAAGGAACTCAGATGTGAGATAGTTGATCTATAAGCCAGTATTTGTAACCTATCACTAAATCAAGCCACTGTGTGAGAAGACTGGAGAGTAGCAAATGTGACACCAATTTTAAAAAAGGGATCAAGAGGGGAATCAGGATATTACAGGCCTAAACATATATCCCAGGCAAATTAGTAGAAACTGTAATCAAAGATAGAATTGTTAGGCACATAGAGGGACAAAGTCTGCTTAGGGAAGTTCTTTTGGAGTTCTTTGAGAAAGTGAACAAGCATTTATAGTGACCTGGTAGACATTATATACCTGGACTTTCAGAAGGTTTTGACAAGTTACATTACCAAAGACTCCTTAGCAGTCTTGCGATAAGAGGACGGGTTCACTTATGGATTCAAAACAAGTTAAATGACAGGAAGCAAAGAGTTGTAATCAGTGGACAGTTCTCACAATGGAGGGAAGTAAGCAGTGGGGTCCCACAAGGATTGGTATTAGGGATGGTACTACTTAATTTATTCATCAGTGATCTGGAACTAGGAGTGAGTAGTGTAGTGGCCATGTTTGCAGATGATGCAAAATTATTCAGGATGGTGAAAATCAAGGCTGATTGTCAAGAACTGCAAAAGGACTTCCACAAACTGGGTGAGTGGGCGACAATGTGGCAAATGAAGTTCAGTGTTGGTAAGTGTAAGG